CTTCATTATCATATGGTTTTGTGACTTTGTTTGATGCTTTTTCAAATTTTCATGCCTTTTTTAAGTTTTTGTAGTGACTTCAATGTTGTATAGATTTCAGGATTTAGGGTTTTTGTTTATTGTGAAAGTTTCAAGTTTCAAGTTTGTCATCCTTTTTTTTAAGCTCTTATGACTTCTTCAATGTTGAAAAAGACTTCAAACACTTTTCTGTCCCTCAAATTCTAATGGAGTTGAGCATATTTGCAAGCGCACCGGTATGCACTCGGTCCCACCGGTATTCCGTAGCAGCGGAATCTTTCGTTTCTTTTTTTTTTTCCCTTTCTTTTTTTGACTTTTGTTTTCTTTTTCTTCTTTTTTAAGTTTTTTCTTTCCTTTTGTTCTTTTCTTTTCTTTTTTTTCGTTGTGTGCGAGTGTGTGTAGTGATGGATACAGAAGAGTGCACGACCGAGCAGCTCCTGTTCAGTTCAGTCGTACTGATTTTATTTTGTGTCCCAAACCCTCCACTGCCCGCAACTAATGTTTGTCTGCACATTCTCCGCGACCTGCCTTCTTTTTTTTTTTTTTTTTTTTGCAACTCGCAATGTGCAACTCTCCGCGACCTGCCTTATGCAGCGCCTCCGGTGGAGGTTAGAGCATGGCAACTGTGTTGCACGACTCAGGTTAAAAGTAGCGAAAAGAAAAAGGAAAACTTCAAAAAAGAGAAGAAGAAAGGGGACATAAAGATCAGCGAAAAGGGGGACTGATAGGAGGGAGAGTAGCGTGTCTGAGTGTGCGAGTGTACAGTGTGTTGCGTGTGGGATATCCAGGGTGATCCTGTGTGCGAACAGCAGTGTTGAGTAAGTGACGAACAGAGAGTTGCACAGGCGATGGGCCGCCATAGCCATTTGAAGTGAACTTGTATCTGAGCTGCGTTCTTGGTTACTGTATCTCTGAGTTCTGAGTGGGCGCTTGACGCCAGTTTGCTGCGCAACCTGTTTGCATGCATGTGAAGTGTGAATGAGAGCGAGTCTGATTGCAAAACGATCAGTCAGATTATAACAGTGGCCTAGGAGCAGTCGTGAGTAAAGCACTAGTGTGAGCCCCCCTCCTCCGAAGAACGCGGCCATGTGTACCGGCCTGCCTGCAGCAGGTCTAAGGGACTCGCCACACCGCTGTCGAAAGGCTGAAAAATTCGACGGCTGTCAGAAATTCAGAATAAATTCGACAGCCACCCTCTTCCCACAGTTTGCCCCCCCCTTTAGCCACACAGCACTGTGGAATGGACGCACTTGTGAATGCAAGATGGAAGAAGACGAACGCGCCTGAGGGTACGGCAAGCATTAGTCCATCATCCCGACCTCACGCCCACTCACAAAATTTTGAGGAGAAGTCGATAGCGCAGCCGAGGACTACCGTTGAAAGCATCAGAGTAGCAGGCTGGCTGGGGATTCAACAACTTTCGGGAGGAGGTGTCGAGAAGCGTTCTCTGACAACGTACTTGCAAATTTTCTTCCCATCTCCAATTTCGACAGGCTGTGTGGCCAAGAGAAACGATCGAAAATTGCGTTTTCGACAGGGTGTGGCGAGCCGAGCCTCTAATATGCACTCCACTGGAAAATTCCTCACGGCGCACTGGTGATATAACAACCATTGTCTGCGGTGTCACGCCACGCCATGCCACTGGATCTTGTCGTCACTGTGGTGTTGTCCTGCGAAATGACCATGTGACACCAGTGCACCACATGAGCATACCATCTCCTAAGCAAGCCCGTTGTCTCTTTTGCGTTTCTTCTTTGTTTGGGTCGTCTGTGCCTCCCAGCCCATGTAGCATAGCCTGCCTGCCCCACGCTTCCACTCCACACACTATGTATGACCTCGGGCCATGTAGTACCAGCCATAGTGCAACCCGACCCACTTGGTATCACCCAGGCCGCATAGCACTTCCCTGCCCGCATAATAGTGGCTGGGCCATGTAGTACCAGCCATGGTGCCACCCACCCCCACTTGGTATCACCCAGGCCACATAACACCGCCCTCCCCACATGGCCGTGTGATTTTTTAATTTCTTTTTTTGTGGCTGTGTCTGGAACGTAGTGTGGCCTGCCCCCATGATGCCGCCAGCCCCACATAGTATCACCCACGCCACATTATCCCACCAGGCCCAAATGGGACCGTCTGGCCATGCCGAGGGCCGCCTGGTCCCACCTCATATGATCCGCCACAGCATCACCCGAACCAGCGCCCTCCTCACATCATACGCCCCAGTCCACATGCTTTGACCGCTGACCAAGGCAATGTTTTTTTTTTTTCATGGGCTCCGCCGCATCTGTCGCGGGTATCTGCTTGCTTATTATGATGTCTACTCGGAGGCCGGGAATCCCTCCACAACCAACCCAGTCATTACCCAGTGTCGACTGAGCTGGAAACCGGGTCCAGCGTCCCTTCATAGCCTAGTCGCATGCCATCTCAAAATTACACGTTTGGGATTGTCGATGTGATCCACGTCACATTACAAGGTGAAAGGTGACAGGAGGGAGGGAGATACTGAGGTGAGGGAGGGAGCGGACAAGATAAGTGGCAAGAGAGGGCCTGCTTTACTGTGAGAGACCACGATTAGTCCATGCGATGGGGTCCAAGCAAAGCACACTGCCGACTGAAAAGGTGGAGCGAGAAAGAGAAAGGAGGAGAGAAGAGGAACACAAAGAGGGTTCACAGACAAGATTCAGGAGGTAACTGAAGTGGAGGCAGAGAGAGAGGAGGAAGATTGAGAGTCCAGAGAGGAGATGTATGTCACCGCTCTGACTAAGGCCTTGCTGGTTTTGACCAACAGCAGGCAGAGGGCTGGAGGCCAGCGTGCATTTGCGTGCTTCCGCAAGTGGAAAAGGCCTAAGGGCTGCAGGGTGTATGCTTCAAGGAGCTAGCTGAAGTGGAGACAAACAGTCCATGGCCCCACATTAAAAAAAAGGGTTTGCCAGAAGAGAGTAATAGAGCTGAAGTGGAGCAAAAGCTCTCCAAGCTATAGTTGCACTCCAGATGACAAAAATGGAGTTTTTGTTTGTTCTGTGTTGTTTTTGTGTTTGTTCTGTGTTTGTTCTGTGTTTGTTCTGTGTTTGTTCTGTGTTTGTTCTGTGTTTGTGCTGTGTTTGTTATGTGTTCCCTTTTACATCATGTGTGCTGCATCCCAGTGATGGAGTTTTTGTTCGTTTTGTGTTTGTTCTTTGTTGAAGTTTGTTCCCTTTTACATCTTGTGTGCTGCATCCCAGTGTTATCATGTTGCTGATGTTATTCAGTGCTTCCACTTGGTTAACCGTGCTTTTCTGCAGATTGGTATTTTGTTCGAGACTGGCGAGGAAGATACGGCAGAGCAAATGATCGCAGATATGGACCTTCAGAGTGATCCATCCTTGGGAGTGAAATTGGGAGCAGACCTCCTTTGTGTTGCAGGGAAAATATTGACGATGTATGCGGAGAATCTTTCGTCAGATACCAGATCTACAGCAGCCGATGCAAGTGGCGAGTCTTGTAGAACATCTGGCACCGCTGTTGATGGTGCTCCGTCAGAAGCAGCACCTGAAGATGCCACAAGGGCGAGAGAGGAGGGTAAACACGCAACAACCGCAGCGGTATCTTCAGAGGTCAGTTGTCCGCAGGCAGGCAATCAGAGAGCAGAAGGGATTCAAGGGCAAGGCAGGAAAGGGTCATGGACGAGTGTGTCGTCGTGGTGGAGGGGTTCCCGCGCCAAAAAGGGCAGTTCTTCTAAGCAAAACGCGCAAGGTGAAGGGGGTGCAGCCGCCGCAAAGGCTGAAGGAGGATCGGACGGTTCCTGGGTCTCTGGAAATCAACAGTCTGAATTGCAGGCCCAACTGAAGGTTCTCAATAGGCTTAACCTTAGTACCATTGCAGGTGCTACGGAGAACCTCATCTTCCGAACCGGTGGCATCGACATCGACCAATCGCACGACTCTGATGCTGGCTACGCGCAAGCTGGCCACTGGGCGCAAGCGTGGGATGAAGAAAGTAGACCACTGGGCAGGAGCAGACAAACTTCTGCTGGCCGCGACCGCAGTCCGACTGGAACAGGAAGGCAAGGAAACCAGCGAGAAGTGAAAATTGAAAAGAGGCAGCTGCCATCGCTGAAGGTCGTATGCAGGCTCCTTTTACTGTCAGCGAGATTGTGTGAAGGGGTTGGTGGCAGTCAAGCAAGGGAAATCTACCAGCAGGCGCAAGCGATGATGGTGGTGATGGACAATGTACAGCAACGGGTGGACGAGGGTGCTGAGCGACGGCACGGAGACAAAACTCCTGCCACAAGCTTAGGTCTTGTGAGGAGGAGAGTGAGAGAGAAGTCCGCACTTGGTGGGCAAAGGGAGGTCAGGTGAGTGAGCAGACGACTAGCAGAGAAATCGCTTGGAAAAACGAGAAGCTCATCGTCAAGGGAGACATAAATGATGCACTGGAGCATAGGAGGCGATTCATCAGTCCTTCATACTCGTTATTGACGTTTGTTCTCTTAGGTTGTCCTCCCATTCATCAGTCTTCTATTTGCTTTCCCCTTCAGTGCATATATTTCTTAATAAAGTTATTTGCTTTGCCCTCCAAGCGTCCAAGGTGATGTATTGGGTGTAGGGATATCGGACATCTGCCACTGTCTTACGTGTGCTTCGCCGTTGAAATGGACAGGGCTCAACAGTGCATCTTGTCAATTCGAAAGATGACATGTATGAAACACACCACAAGTCCTCTGGAGATATTTCCCGGGGCTATTTCGTTGTGCGGCTTGCGCCCTGCTGGGGCAGGGACAAGCAAGCGTTGTACAGTTGGTGAAACAGGATTGGTGCAGAGTGGACAATCTGAGACCTGGTAGCGTGGCATGCCATCAATTGTAATGGAAAGACAACAAAATGGAGCTCGTTGTTGATTGGATATGTATTACTAATTGTCTTCTGTGCTGCCTATCAATTAATCTCATGATTAAGTGAGCCCTGTGCCCACAGTCATCAGTGGTCATCTCTCTCTCTCTCTCTCTCTCTCTCTCTCTCTCTCTCTCTCTCTCTCTCTCTCTCTCTCTCTCTCTCT